CGAATGCTTTCACAAGCATCATAAGACTGTTTCAGTATATTTTATGTAGTTTCAAATGCGCTCTATCTCGTCTTGTAGAGTAAAAGCCATTTTAATCTAAATATCTGTCACAAATATTAGCTTCAGTACAATCAAGTGAAAAATAACAACGATTTGTATCTGTTTTTGCGCGACTGAACACAATAATATTTTTTTCAAATCTTAGATATCCAAAAATAACGATAGAACATTGGTTTTCAATATAAATTTAAAAAAATGTGCTCGAATAAATCCACTTTGACTAAGCTTCATTTGTTTTATACGTAGGCTTACTTTATTGATGAAAAAGTCGTCGTTTTTTGAAAAATTGACAAGAAATAATAAAATTCTTGCGTCCTCAATTCTAACTGCAAACTTTTTTAATCATTCGTAAAGAATAGAGCTTTTTAAGGAGTACAAGGTGGCTACTATAACTTTTCTTTCTTACAAACTTTGAGTAGATAATACCCGGAAAATCTGCTGTTCAATTTATCTACGTTTATTTTTTCCACATTTTGGTACTTCTCGCAATTTTCTATCGCATTTTGTATCTTTGGATTTTGAAGTAAAACAGCTAATACATTTTTTGTAGAGAATTGAACGGGGAATCGTTTGGTAAAAACGACACGCCGATCGTGTTCAAGAAAGACGAGAAAATTCAAAAATACTAACACGGCAATTCTTTTTGGCCCATCCGTTATTACGGCCAGTGCCAAATTTAAAAAATCGGTTTTATCTACCCTATATACTTCTTTATTTATCTTGTAACAAAGAAAAAGATTATTTTATTGATTTGAACTATTAAACATCTATTCAATTTTAAACAAAAAAGTGAACAAAGTTGTCATCTCTTTATTTACATCTAATCATTTTTTATGAAAAAAGTCTTTAATGGTTGCTTGCTTGACTCCTTTTGAGTCGATGAAAAGTTGAGTAAGCGGTGAATCCAATTGAGAAATCAGCGAATGTAATTGTGGTTATTCTCTTACACAGAATCGATTCACTCATCACGGACTATTCATTTTCATTGTTCTGTTTGTGTCATACATACGACAAAGTTTGTTATGACGAATTGACCGTCCAAATTTAATTTATCATTGTTTTATTATGTGCAATCTATTTTTTCATCTACTTATTTCATATACGAAAGCGTAGTTGGTCAGTGTATGTTCACTATAGAGAGGTGTTTTTCTACAGAAATGACTGAAAAAAGTGTTCAATGTTCAGAGTTGGGAGATGTTCATCTTGCAGAGGTATATTTACAGCAAAAATCGATCACGGGTTCCGAAACGTATATTCAAATGAGCGGTGTTCATTAATAGAGGTTTCACTGTATTTTATTTACGATTAATATAATAGTTGAATTTTGATATCGTTTTTTTAATATTCTAACTGCAGATATAATACGTCTGTTACTTTCGAACATTAATGAAACTTCACTTTAATCAATAATCAGACATGAAAAATACAAATATTACTATAATCATTCAGTTCGATTTGCGGGTGATAAGACTTGTTTTTCTATCATATAAGATGGTTATACTAAAGTCTAATAGAAGCAAGAAAAATAGCTGCAGTTTTCTTCGTTCGAAACAGTAAATGAAGATCATCTAATGATACATTATACGTTTTCTCAGAATGTTGGCTGAAGTTTCTTTAATCAATTATATAAGTGTGGAAAAATCATTTAGAGTTTCCACTAGAATATCCATAACTGCTAAATGATTTAATTCTAAGCCTCTGAACCGCATGCAGTTTTGTAGACCTTCCATTGTTGGTTTGAGTACATATCTGGAAATTAAGAGTTCACTGTCGACACCTCACCGTGTAGGTTTGCTTTCAAAGAGATCTAATGAAAATCTTGAAAAAATCTATAATATACAACTTAGAGTGTGGCTTGAGATTTTTTCTTTGCGCATACCCACACCCTTAGATGAGTTCTTTGTGCATTATACATATTGTAAATTGCTTTCGTCACTCCACCTTTTGATTAATGCACCTAGTTTGTCGGCTTTAGGCCTGTTCTACTCAGTTACTGATGCATCAAAATCACCTGCTATTGTCGTGTTTTTTTTTTGTAATGAAAGGAGTGATCTCAATTAAACGTNGTCGGTTTTAGGCCTGTTCTACTCAGTTACTGATGCATCAAAATCACCTGCTATTGTCGTGTTTTTTTTTGTAATGAAAGGAGTGATCTCAATTAAACGTAACTGCATATTCATATTTGTGGATTTTTTTCTTGCAATGTTTTCACTATTCAAATTGAATCGTATACCAGTCGATAGAGCTTGACTTGCTCTACAAAATGGTACGTATGACAGTTCTCATCAGTCTCGGTATTGAAGTCAAAAAGTCAAAATACTGTATTTTTTGACATAATATAATTCCCCCCCCCGCCANAAAACCCCCCCCCCCCCCCCAGTATTTGGATGAATTGGTCGTATCACAAGATGAATGCCAACACAGAAATAGCATAATGTTGCAGCCCGTTCAATTCTGCATCGAACGTTAGATGGGACATTGATTTTCAATGTTCTAAAGCCGAGATGGGTAGACTGACAAATTGAGTACTGAGCAATATTCAGTTGTTACGTATGTAATTGACTATATGTTTGTTTTAAATATTTTGAGGAAGGAGTGTAATGCTCCTGCGGCTTGAGGGTGTGGGTGAAAGAAAAACTACACCCAAACTTCCATCTAGACCCGCAGTTACACCCACATTTCAGGGTAAATCGGGGCTATGCAGGAGTTCGTTTGGGTCTATCAGCCTCTACTAGATCATCGCTACTGATGTCGTGATCTTGATATTTTTGCTTAATATGTGAAGCAATATCTTGGCTTGTCTTTTTTTCAAGCGTTCAGAAGTAGACGCAATAAGCTTGACAAAAATTATGCAATGTTTTCAGTTTTGATGCGCGCTTTATACTTTAACATAGTTCTTGTTACTGTGCTACTGTTTCACATCACTGCTAATCGTCGTTGAACTTGATGTCCATTTGTTTGGGATTGGTTTCTTAAGAAATTCAAAGTCACGATTAGGATAGCAAGCTTTATAGAGATACTTACCATAAGCGATCTTTGGATATCGTCTATGAACTCCAAGCAGTGATTCGAAAGTAATTTTGTTCAACCATTTGAATGATCGCATAACCCCTGCATTAAAATGGCTTTCAATTTCATCGATATTAGTGGCGCCGTCTATCAAATCCTGAATCATGAGTATTTCGATACCCTTGGCTGCTGCCTGAGTCATAAAAACGCGTAATCACAATATTTTTGAAATTTTTAAACAAGCGGAACTTACAGCTGGCTCGCCAGTAATTCGTACATCATAAATACATTCTTCTAATGTTTGTCGTATAGTAGAATTGAAATAGGCACTTCGTTGAACAGGCGACCGATGAATCGTGTTCAAATAATTGATAGAATACATCTCGCAAATGTCTCGAGCTTGTTCTTTAGTAATCGTCTGTCGTGGCGCCGGTTGTGCAGGCTCATTCAGTAGACTGCGTGTTGGAAAACAATCAGCCTTACTGCATTGGCCTTCAGATCCCAACATAAGCGAACGTGGTTGAAACATCTCTATAGTGTATTGACGTGGTAAAGCGTTCTAAGAATTGTTAATTAGAGAAAAAGATGCCTCTCATGAGAGAAGACTTTCTAAGTATCAACATACGGTGTGAATAACAATGGCTAAGAAGTTAGCTTCTGGATGTTTCAAAGTCAACGTTTCACCATCGGATGTCTTGATGAGCGTTGCGATGATATCTAGAGTAATTCATGAGACACATCCTGATCATACTGTAATGCCGGACTTACTATACATCGAACAGTGAGGCTGAACATAAAAATTAAAGTTACTTGTATTTGCTAAACACAGAGATGTTCCTGCACCATCGAGAAAGTTCACTGTAACCTTTATATTTCAATCAAATGCATACAAACGCATATTTGCAGACAATTAAGGGAATTAAAATAACTCACGTCGACACCATATCCAGCGATCACCTTTACATCGAAATCAACATATCTGTTGTGCACAAGTTTGAACATGTGATTTCCAACACACGTGTTGCTAGTCGGATTGAGAGTGTTTTCGGAGTGCCATGTGAGAAAATGAGGCTCACCATATGATTTGCATCGCAGAATTTCATTTCCTTGAGCTACACATATATGAATATCAAAATAATTGCAATTGTATTTGATTCTCTTGCATACTTACCTTGGCTGGAATGAAGTAGAGCGGAAACGATCGCTGTCACAATGAGAAAAAAGTTAAGAACATCCATCTGAGAGAGAACTCCTGTTCACAATATAATATTTGTATGCTAACTGTAGCTTTTATAGCCCTTTATAAAGAGGATTTTGAACTACCTACTTTATTGTATTTGTCTGAAATTAATCATGCGTTTTCTATAAAGATAAGGCACTTTTTATGACTTTCAACAAATAAAAGCTATCGCTTATTGTTGGAATAATCTACTTCCTCAAACATAGGTAAAACATAATTCTTATCAAGAGACGTTACTCGGATTGGGTTGATTGATAATTCAGTCTCAAGGGCATGGATGTTGAGGACTTGCGAAAAGACATTGCTCACACTTCCACGGAACCACCCGTACCTACACCCACACCGACATCCACACATTCAACAAACTATCCACCCACAGTCAAACGGGAAAAAATCTACGTAGATATGTTTTTCGACTTTGACATCAATAAAAGTGATCAAATACTTCTTTTACTGCATTATTATCTATATTGCCGCTTGTAATCACATTTCACCTGAGGATAGATTGTATATTGGAGAAAGCCAACTCGATTATGCTGATATATATATATATATGAAGTCTTTAGAGCATGAATAAGCTGAAACCAGCAATATTGTAGGTAATCGTAAGTATTTTCCCATTAGATCCTTGCGTTCTATGTACAATTTCATGAGACATAAGTCACGGTGACAATCATCGTTTAGACCGTTATTCTGAAAGGTGATTGCTAATAAGTATTGAAATGTATAGCTAGAAAAGGGATACCACCCATTCTAGCCCCAGAGACGGTCGCAGTAAATTCGAAAAAATTCTCCAGCATCACCGATCATGACAGTCATTTCGACATGCCCCCACATGGACTCTATTACGAACCCTGTCTATATTCAGTCTCTAAAAGATCGCACAAAAAACATTTTAGAAGCAGTTCTTAGTGTGGTATTCTTTAAGAATCTGAAGCTATAGATTATGGAGTGTAGGTGTGAGTGTGTGTGAATAGAAGAGGGTGTGGGTGGGTTTGGGTGGATCGGCATGATATTCCATTTACTAACATTTACATTCACATCCACGTCTTATTCTTTGTAAGGAATTACTTCTAATACACTACGTAGTAGCATATGGCTGGTAATCGTTTACTTTAGGTTGTTGATGATTTTAGTTACACTAATGTTCAAAACTAAATTTGATGCCATGGTGAAGGTCCATGTCGCTGTGCTTATGCTACTCTGTACTGCAGTGAAAGGAAACCCGTTGCGAGCCTTCAACAATCCACTGAATGGTAAAACCATCGATTTATTCTTGGTCGCAGAAGAATCAAACTCTCAAATGAGTAACCTAGAGTTCGGGCTGCTGAAAACAGCTCTGAATAACATTGCCATTGAAACGAATCCTGTCGGTTCGAGTCCTTACTTTGGTGTTTATTTTTTCGGAGCAACAACGCAACTTCATGTGGTTGCTCCATTTAAGACATCTAGTGCCTCGATGGTAAAGACATACCTAGACCAAAAACAGTATACAATGGCCCAGTCAAACCCATCGACGTTGGTCTCTGCTCTAACTCTTGTCGAATCAGATTGCGCCTTACATTGTCGACAGAGTGCACCACGAGTTACTGTTGTACTCTCTACTGCTCCATCTTCTTCAGCCGAAGTTGCCGTTCGTCAGTTAGAAAATAATCGCGGCATGATCGTGATATTTATTGGGATAGGATCCGGTGCAAGCGCGGCTGTTGTGAACCGATTGGCTTCGCATCCCACACGGTTCTACGCTCTTCTCGTTGGTTCTATGTATGAACTTGTGCTGTCTGCTCAGCATATCGGCTCTGTTGCTGCTGATGTGCCCCGTCTTCTTAGCATCAACCAACCGTTGTCGATTTCAAGTACAACCTCTGGTGTCTATTATATAGTACAGCTCAACACCTTTCCATACGTAACTATGAATGACACCATTGTCATGTTTGCATCCAATTGTCCCAACTGTCAGGTATTCGGTTCGTTATCAGAACCGAATCCAGTTAGTGAGAATACTGTTCAAAATTTGAATGCTCGCCCCTTCTATGCGGCTGCTGGTTATCCGAACACATTATATTACTTCCATATTCCAAAAAACACTGCTCGATTCTTTGTAAGCCTCCGCTCCAATGGCATGCCTGCTGTCTCTATCCTATTTGATATTTTCACTCTGCCTGAAATGTTATCGACATAAATCAAGAAGTTTTGAAGAAAAAGTATTGGAATCGATTGCATAAACAGTTTTCACACATAGACAAATACCACTTAAAACACTGCAAAAAATAATTGTAGAATAATCAGAATCCTATTATGGGCAGTTTTGGTGTCAAATCCCCATAGCATGTACACTGTAAAAAAAGAAGTACTTTCCTGAACCCTCCAAAAAGGTTTCGTAGGAGATGGTTCCGACAGTGTGCCCACGATCGGATCCTTTTAAAGTTTCGTAGATTTTAAGAGTCGTTTTTTAAGCTTTTGGACTCATTTGGAAGCTTTTAGACACCTACGAAATCTTTTTGGTAGGTTCACGAAAGTACTTATTTTTTTACAGTGTAATTTCTTATCCTACACTTCTTTTCTACAATGGATCGTTCATAGCACTGCAATCGACCAAGTAATGTTGCTTTCTAAAATAAATAATTATTATTCACCACATTTGCTTTTTGGCGCTCGCTTCGTGTATGGAACGTTTCATCCTGTAAAGATGTGAAAACATTAAAAGGCACGGACATATTCAGGGGTATGAATGCGCAAGTGGGTGTGAGTGATGATGTGTGCGTGACTACGACTATCTTGAGGGTATGTATATGTTTCATAATGCTCATTTGGTCCTCAGCTAGATGCAACTGGCTTCATCATCAATGGTCAGAAATTAGATGTTGAATGTTCGCTATGGGATATAATTGCTATGTAGCAACATTTTATGCCTCTGTTTCAGTGGTTTGTGGTTTTTTATTTATTCAAATTCCTTCAATGTTTCAAGGGTTCGATCTAGAATGAAGCAAAAGTGTGAACAAGATTGTGAATCATTTGTAACGAATTTCTTTGCCCGATTTAATTTCCACAATCGTCATATGACTATTATTTCTAAATTGATTGAATTAAAAAGAATTACATATTAGCTGAGCAAAGAAAGTAGAAGGTTATAATTCAACATGTATCAACAAGACTTCTAACAACTATCATAAAAAAAATCAATTATGTTTCTGTAATTTTCTTTCATCAATTCATCATTTTTTCGGAATTGAAAGACACTCAGACTTCCACAAGAAGATAATCCACACTTTCAAGAAACGTTCTTTGAACTCATTTAAAATCAGCTTGAATCAAAACTTGAATAGTGTCGATACCATTTTGAAATAAATTTACAGCAATCGACGATAGAAGTGAATTGCACACTGACAATGAACCAACTGAGAAGTCCTATCAATTATAATGTCAATTTTCCTTATTTGCCAAGACAATTTTACACTTCGCTATTGAATAAATAATGAAGACTTTTCATCGGTAGATGTAAAATCTTTTACAGAGGGAATTCACTATTGTGATCATTTTTTGAAATTTACACTCATCTGAATGTTCTCAAAATAAATTAATCAAATGATTTCAGTAGCATTTTCCAATCATTTTAATATGAAATATGTGGAATTTAACAATGTCAACTAACATTGAAGTAGTGCTTTCTCACATCAGCAGTGCTATTTTACAAGAAAGAGGCAAAAAGTAAAAATTCTTCCACCGCACAAATTACAAAAGCAAATATATCTACAGCAATCAGGGTGACCAAATTGAAAATTGAAAAATCAGAAAACGATCAAAAAGTTTTTTTTAGGGAAATCAGATGTTTATCAGAAAGATCATTTTTTGGTGAAATAGCGACTTCTGTATAAGATGCTGGCATTAGCTACTCCACTACTTTTATGTCATTAACTGGTATTTCATTTCCAAAGATTTATCACTATAAAGATGAATATTCATCAATCGATAACGAATCTTTATGAAAAACTCTTTTTTTCCTTTATATATCGAAATGATATTGCTGTGGCTAATTAATTAACTTCGATTTGTTTCTTTTCACAATCAAATTCAACCATATTAACGTCGTCCAATAGATAATTTTGTTTTAATTTGTAGAATGCTCAATTAGATAAGATTCTCGAAATCAAGAAAATAAATTTATCAAATTCTAGTGCAGTGCTGTAGGTGAAGTTGCCTATATAAGTCAGAAATTACCAACGGATAATTGCGAAAAACAAGATGCCGCAATATACATCTATATTAGTAGTATGTTATAATTGTACTGGATTGCACTAGCAAAACTGGGATCTGAAATAGTTTCGAATTCGGAAAAAAATCAGAAGAAATTCAGAAAGGACTTCAAATTTCAGAAAATTTTTCTACTTTTCAGAAGATCTGACCACCCTGACAGCAATAGTGAACACATTTATCATACAGAGCTAATTTATTTACTCTCAGAGTTATTATTAATCATTCAGAATAACAGATTGTTTTCAACAAAACAAAAATATGCGGTATTTACTCAATAATTCAAAGTGCTTCTGTAACTAATTAGTCAACGACCCTACAAACCGCCAATCAATATTCAAAACATCTACCTTTAAATCTAACCCAACTTTCCTGAACTATAGTTCAATTAGAATATTAAAGAACATTTGAATTTCAAAGCGATGAAAGAACAGTTTATACTTTCACTCAGCTGATGCAAGTAGAACAATTTCTAATATGAACTCAGACATATGCGTGTTTCGTCTATCACCAAGCATAGCCAACAACTTCCATGATATATTGTCCTGTGATAAAACATATTTTTCTTTGCCCCTAAGTAACAAACAAGAAGGTAACATACCTTAGCAATAATCTGCGTTCGATTCTGTAACGATTCATAGACGACAACAACATCCAAGCTAATTTAGCTTTTCATTTCTCCTGATAACTTTATCCACAAGACCGAGTAACCGGTTCCCGATTTTATTGGAGCTAAGATCAAGTTTGATGAGTGTCTGTGATAAAAGTGGAAATTATCAATAGAGATAGATGAGTAGAGAATGAGGGTCACGGTGTTGTGATGTAATGTATCAGCGGGATGTTGTGCTCCGAGGGCTCCGATATGGTGATACTGGAAATTTAGTGTGGTGAGTGTCTGTATTAAAGAGTGGAGATGTGTAAATCAGATAGATGATTAGAGAATGATGGCAGACTAATTTAGGTCTGAAATCAGTTTTTCAGTTTTGGGTCGGAAGTGAAACCGTCATTCATCACGGTGGTCGGGCACATCGTTACGAGCGATCAGTGCTATGTTCTAGGCGGACAATGGGATTAGTCGTCGAATAAGGGCATACGGCCGTTAGAAATATTGAAGACATAGGCTCTATGCTGGGACATTGGGAAGCGAGATGAGAACTACTATAGGATCAGTATGGATTTATGTATATTTTCATACGTAATGATGACATATTATGTTGTGTCTTTTCGTGTGTGATTTTATGTTTTATGTTTTATGTGGTTGTTTGAATAATTGATGGTGAGTCCTATCAATTGGTTCAATTGTTTGCGTTGAATATTGTTGAAATCTGTTTTCTTTGTGTTTCGAATGAAAAATTGAATAATTATCTATATTAGAACAGGAAAGGTCATATGTTCAATTTAGCATGAAAATATAGCTAGAATATCGATGGATAAGCGATTGATATTTATTCTAACGTTTCAATGCCAATATAATATATGTTAAGGGAAAAGAGGTGGGACACTTTAGTTTTGATATTGTTATCTTCAATAGAAACATATATGTATCAGAGAACCGTCAAAATGATTTACTCTTATAATTGTTTATTATTATTGAATGTCATCAAAGTTTTATTGTTGAGAGTTGACAGATTAGATGAAATGCATAGAATTAGAATCCTACATAGATTGATATGCATTGCAAATGAAGTTTAAACTATGCTGGATTTCGAATAGTGAAAAAGAGTAAAATATTTATAGAGAATATACTAAAAAAAAGCAGAAGAGTATATTAATCTGAAATATCTAATAATTCACTGTTATGTTATGGTTCTTGTTTTGACAAAATATCATCCATGAAACGAGTTAACATACAGGATAACCACAATGCTTTCTCACTATTACTTCATTTGACTGGAAGAGTGATCTGATGGGTGTGGGCTCAGTAACTCCCTGACAACTGCAGCCACACCACATCCTCACACAACTACACCTATTATTGAACGTGGATACCACATAAATGAAATAGTGGTTACTCTACCGTAAAATGTAAAAAATAAATAAAATTAGTAATCGATCTAATTCTTTTAAATAATTCACCGGTTACTTTAATCTTAAAAATGCAAGTTAATAAATATTACTCTTCAAAATTGGAGCATACAGAAAACTATTTGCTTGTTTGAATTGTATTAAAAAGTATTCTTCTTGATTTTGTTACTCTCAACCATTGAAATTCTCCAATCTTGTTCAACTCGTGACTTCTATGTCAATAAACTGTTTGCACTATTCTTTTAAACAATGAAGGAATGATCGAAGTTTTAACCTTCTGACATTTATCACAATTATGCAAAGTTTATTTGGATACCTTGGTTTATGTATTAAATGTTTAGATACTCATAATTCAAGAAGAGTAGCATTGATGGAATTCAGTAAACTATCTGTATATTCTTCGATTTCATGCCTCTGCCAGACATCTTTCTATGATTATTATTGAAAATAAAATCTTTTTTTTCTGTAAAACGTAACCACTTTTAAAAAAAGATTTACACTCATATTCAGTAAAGCATCGCGGAAAAACCAAAGACGATAAAATCTTCTGAAATAGCTTGCTTAATTTGGTTCAAAATTACTAATTCCTTAATATCATCATCGAAGTACGTAATACTAAGATAACCACATTTTTTACACGAATATTTTCTTTAAGACGTAAGAAACCTAAGTCGGGTGGATGCCAATGATGAAAACAGACGTTACGAACTGAGCATAATATCGTGAAGTCATCGAGCTTCTCTAGAATCCGATAGGCAAGCTCGACAGATAATTCCAATAAAGACGATGGAGTTGTATTAGCCATCAATGTTACTTGTGTTCGAATAGTGTTTTTCGTTGCAATGAATGGATGTTACAATTTGTTTTCTGTACATAAACTTGTTTATTTACAATACGTCTCCAGCC